ACCCCAAAACCCCAAATAAAATAGATAATGTTATGATTGTGATTTAAGAAATATAATTAGGATTTATGGATGTTCATAGAATAATCATTTTTAAGATCTCAAGAGGGTTTCAGCAACTTTAATGTGCTCGAACTCCTCAAAACCAGAGAATATAATTTTTCTAATGCTTTTTGCTGCAATTGGGTGATAGAAGTTGACATTAGCGTTATACCATTTGATAGCCAATGACTTTTGATTGTTTCTAACAAGAGCAGTGTAAACTGGCAAGATGTATTTTTATCTTCCCCAAGTTGATACATAGCTAAATGCATCGTCATAAGCATCTTAATACTGAAGAGCAATAGCAAGAGGGAACCATCTTTGTCCAACTTCTGGATTAACATCCCAAGTGCAGCCATAATCCTTATCAAGCTTCATCATTGATTAAAGCGACAAATACTTAGTTCTAACCAAAAGCTATTGCAATAAAATGACTTTCAAGTTTAGATTATCAGTCTAATTGTAAATCATATAATTGTCTGGACTCTGATCATATCCATCTAATCTAACATAGTTATCAGCTAACTCCTAGAACGTAGTAGCATCTGGAGTAGTGTAGTCTAGTTGGTAAGGATTTTTTCCTCCTTAAATAATCCAAGCATTCCAATCAACTTTAGAAATCAAATCAGTAGCCTTAGCTTAATCAAAGTTAGCCTTGACAAATTCATTATAAGTCAATCTGAATTCAAGATAGGTCACAGATTGGTACTTATATTTGTTAATGTAGAAAGCTAGGAATTTCTAGAGAAAATCAGTTTCCTGCTGGCCCTCATTAAGGATGATTTGTAAGTAATCCACAAATTGGTTTCCTTTTTCATAAGGTAACTCAGAGTAGACACCATCTGGATTGTTTCCAGTTAGGGGATAAAGACTTGACTGAGTGCTGCTCTGGCCAAATGTGTTAATATCTTCCCACACAGTAATATTTCCAAGATAGTTCTCAATCTTTGCAAATGGCTCACCGTGAAGCAAGCCACTGACCTTTCTTTCAATGAAGACTGTAAGACCTTCATTTAGCCATAGGTTATGCCAATCTCTCTAAGTAACAAGATTACCTGACCACGAGTGAGCGATTTCATGAGCGGCAACAAAGACCTAGGACTTGTCCTTCTGCATGATAGATGGTGATACAAAGGTTAAGAGTGGGTTCTCCATTCCACCAACTGGGAAGCTGGGTGGCTAAACTAGAACAGTATAACTGCCCCAGACATATGGAACTGGAGTCATGTATGATTCAGTCTTGTTCAATATGACTTCTAATTAATCGAAAACTTAGGCATAATCGTCAACTACACTCGGCTCACTTATTACATAAGTCCTAGCACCAATTTTTCTTGTAGCCAAATCTCCTACAGCCATAGCTAATAGATATGAAGGTATCAGTGTGAAGCTTTGGAAATGATAAGTCATTTTGCCAGGAGCATTGCTTTCTGCCGTGGTAAACGGAGCACTCATATTAGCTTTGAGTTAATCACTACAAGATATAGCACCAGCATAAGTTATTTTGATTGATGGACTGTCTTGGAGTGGAGCTATTGACCTGCAGTGGATAGCAGTGCATTTAGTGTACATATAGGGATAAACTTTTCCAGCAGTTTGAGCGGGGCTTAGCCAGTTAACTGAGACACTGTCTTAGTTGATTGTATACTAAATCGCTGCTGTGACTTAATCCCCTTTGAAGGCTTTGTCAGTCATGTATATAATGAGTCCACTTGTTCCCATCGCTGTATCATCAAAAGTGTCAAAATTGGCTTCAATCTATCCTGGAAGGCCCTTCCCTGCAATTGTGTAAGTACATCTCTGGATAGTTAATCCTTGAATATCAAGAACGATCTCGGATACATCTTAAAGAGCATCAAAGAAAATAGTTTGGACTCCCTTAACAACTTTTTTGTCAAAGTCAACATCAACAATCAGCTCAAAGTGATTGGCTTGAAGCACATCCATGTTAGCATATGAGACATCATCCTTAGAGGCAGTTCTATAGGGATAATTTGTCGAGCTGTAACCCAAGGTCAAAGCTGCCAGCAAACTGATGACAGCAGATGATAATAAAAGATTCATTATTATATATTATTAAATTTTCTGGAATATCCAAATTGAGAATAATATTTTATAGAAGGGGTTTTGGGGTTTTGGGG